CGAAAATAATTTCAAAATAACGCGTGAAAAAAAAACCAAATCATAAAATGTTTATTACCTAACCTTTCAGTATCATCTATTTTTGGTGCAGTTCTTCGTTTATTCGCGACGATAGTTTTACTTTTTGTTGCTGCACCAAAAAAACTCTTATAATCACGGCCAGGCGCTGTGATACTTGAAGAAGATGCTGATATGATAGAAGATGCTTTTGGTGGAGATATTAAATCATATGTTTTACGAGGTGGAAGTGGGGCTATATTGTCGACTTTTGATTCATCATCATTTTTTTCTTCGTGCACCCTATCATCCTTGTATATCTTTTTGTTGTTGATTTTTTACCATTGTTAGATTTGAAAAGTTTAGTATTAATAGAATTGACATTATTATCTTTGCTAATAATGACATTAGACACGTCTTTACTTCTTCCTGATCATCATCCTCGTCTTGAATACGACGACGCGCCTTCATTTTTATATGGATACAAGTTTTATGACAAAATATTTTAGTATTAGCTGTAAGAGGTAACAATGTATTTATTTTTTCTATGTATGTGAATATTTATTTTTTCTATGTATGTGAATAAAGATATTCTTTGAACAAGGTTTATTTTCGACGCGTAAAATGATTGACCATTTAAACGACGAACAGTTGCTTAATCACGTGGTTTTCCACTGTCTGTGAGATCATTATTTACGCGTCAAAAATAAACTGTTCAAAGAATATCTTTATTCAGAGAAAAAAATAAATATATTAAAATATATTTACCATAAAAGTCATGAATATAAAAATGACAAGGATAATAGGATGCACGCAAAAAAACATTTGAGATGACAATATTGCTCCACTTCCGCCTCGTAAACATATGATTTAATATCCCACCCACCAAAAGTATCTTCTATCATATCAGCTTCTTCAAGTATCACAGCGTTTGGCCGTGATTATAAGTAAAACTATCGTCGCAAATAAACGAAGGACTGCACCGAAAATAGATGATACTGAAAGGTTAGGTAATAAACATTTTATGATTTGGTTTTTTTTTCACGCATTATTTTGAGGTTATTTTCT